ACAGTAGAAATGTCAAACAGCACTAAGGACTTTCTAAGTCATGTGTTGAAATTAAAAATAGTTAGCAAGTTTGTATGTGTTTCACCTGCCATCATTAGCTAGAGTAGACAGGAAACTGGATTTAACCTCCTGTGGTTTTGTCAGGGAGAGAGGAACAAGACAGTGACTCCTTACCAACTGCTCACATTCTGTATGTATCACAAGTAAACATCCTAAAAGCTTACATCTTGTGGAGAACCGGTATTATTGCTATCGAGAATATTGCAGATTACCTAATATCTGTCCTCTTGAAAGTCTGCTGCTCCTCACCAGCTACCCTTTCCAAGTCCAATTAACTTTGGTTAGAGTGGTAATGTAACAAGTCAGTATTTTGTTTACTTTTTCCCAAAGATACTACAGACATAGAAGGTCCTCATGACATAATCATATTCAATTTATGCACATGCTAACTGCTATAAAATGCGGAGATAGCAAATATACTTATTTATGTTGCCTTTCCAAGAGCAGTGAGATCTAGCTTATCTTGAAATTTGGTTTGGAGACATCAATAAAAATTTTAGTGAAAACATCCATTTATCTACTTGCCCTTTCCTGTTTGCCTTATTTGGTTATGAAGTTTTCACCCCTTACATTCAAATTACATGTACTCTAACTTGCATGTTACTCACCAATCCTTACATCAGGAATTAATTTCATGTTGTTGAAATTAAAAGTGCATGTTCAAGTTATCCCCCCCCACACACAAAAGGAATTTTTTAAAAATGTTTTCCTTAATTCAATGTAAAGCAGAATTGAACTTTTTCAGAAATGTTAAGTCAGTATACCTATAACATTTAACTAAATTGAAAACATCTTTTTAACAAAAATCACTGTTTTTTTTTCCGGATTTCATTGCATGAGTAATTGAAAATTATGATACAGCGAGCTTAATTGCTCTTGTGTTAATATTTCAGTAGCTGCAGAAACACAAATGAGAAAACAGGGCAATGCAACTGTAACAGGAAGAAAAGTTACATATCAACTATAATATTTTCTTAACTATATGACTAATACTCAATAGATACTGATATAATATAAGTAGATTTCTAATATAAATAGCACTCTTGAAAATGTTCCTCAAATGTCAGGTATTGAAAAATATCCTAAAATTATTGAAAATGTTTTTTTAAAATTCATGCAAAGTGTAAGAACACATCTTTATAACCCTTGTTGTTAATGTTTTCTGAACAGAAGATTAAAAAATAAAAAAGATTGAAATATTTGATTTTACTGGCAATAGAGAAGGATATAGGAATGTCTGACTCTCAGCAAAGGGGATGAATAAAGTAGTACCTATAAGTAGTAGGATATATTTAGCTAAAATCTCCCTGAAGTGAGCAGTAAGGAGTTACATTAATATGTGAGATGGCATTTATTAGAAATAATTACTCTCAAATGGCTTTTTATTACTTAAAATTTAAGATCACTGATTATGAATTAGAGATCATCAATTTAAATTTGTTCCAGGTTTGGATAGGATTTCTTGACATATTGGGTAAATATTATACATGAAATTATACATCTTAAATTTAATCAGGCTAAGTCAAAAGCTTACATGATTTTTTTTAGATGAAAAGAGAGAAAAGAGGTCCTGGTAATAACCCAATTAGGCTGATGTTAACTGAATAAATTTTAGGCATCTGTAGTGTAGGAGACAGTGCTCAGGATTCTAAGTTCTAGAAAATATACTAAGACTCAGGTTTAGGGTAGGCAACATTTTATTTTGCCATTAATGTACACTTTTGCCATTATACTATTTTGCCATTAATGTTAAATGTACTTTTATAGACATACACACACATAAAAAGGCACACACATACAAATTCATATATACAAATAACTTACTATAAATATCATTTAATAATAAAACGGATGTGTAACTCTATAGAAATAAAAAAGGCAACTTCTTAAAATGTAGGACAATTCTGAAAACATATACCTTTGGTTTTATGGAATCTCCACTTAATTGTTCGTGCTTTTCTCTTTTTACTGTGGGTGGGTAAAATCTTTATTTAATTGGGTACTGGTTAAAAGATTAGCATTTGTGATCCACTGGTATAGTGGACAGAATTTAGGATGGAGTCAGAAGATCAAATTTGAGTCAAGCCTTCTTAGGAGTGCGGTTACATTTGAAGCCACCATTTCCTTTAATGTTCAACAGAGTAAGAAATATACATATATCATTCTTACTAATTAAAAAAGTTATAGAAAATAAAAATTGATATGTGAAAGCATATTCTGAATTATACAGCTTTATGCAGAAGTTATTATTTTTTCCTAAGTAGTGTTTATTTATTATTTTTTTTTATTTTATTTTTTTTTCCTTTTTGTCTTTTTTCGTGACCGGCAACGGATCGCAACCCTCAGTGTCGCGCCCGTACCGGACCGGGACCGGCAACGGGATCGCAACCCTCGGTGTTGCTCCCGCACCTCGCTCAGCCAGTGAGCGGCCGGTCTGTATGTGGGATCCGAACCCTCGGCGGGAGCGCCGCCGCGCTTCCCAAGCGGCGCACTACAGCAGTGCGCCACCAGGCCGGCCCCTAAGTAGTGTTTATAATGGATGAGTGCCAATTTAGGAGAAATTCTCTAGTGCTAAAGCATAGGGTATTACATTCGGCCTGACACATAAACAGCACTGTTACTAGAGAGGATAATGGGACAAGCCTTGACTTAAGTTAATTGTTCACATATGGGTCTCAATTTCTTTGTTAATGACATAGGTTCTGAATTTGTATTTCACAGGAAACTGTTCACAACTGGTTTACACAGGTTCTGTAAATCTCCTAAGATTGGTCAAAAACTACCAGTTTTCTTGGGACAAGTGTACATCCTTTTTGAAATACTAAAACCCACATATTTTAAAATGAGGAGATTTTCCTTATTAAAGGAAAGAGTAAAACAAATTATTTAGATTTTGACTCAAGTGACGTATTTGCCAAATTTTTCTGTGGTACAAAATTGAGAGAAATAAATTTATTAGATGACAAAATGAAGTTTCAAATATATATTTATTTAATATGACAATGAACAGAATCAGTTGAGATGAAATTAGGTATACATATGTGTAAAACTCAGCAGAAATGTAGAACAAATAGATGAACTATGTAATTATAAGGGACTTTGATGCATGTCTCTCAATACAAAAATTAGAAGATTTAGCAAAATAATAAATGAGTTATATCTTAAGGATATCTAATGGACTCTGTACCTTGTAATAGAAAATACAGCTTTTCCCCAAATACTTGCGAGCCCTGCATCTTATAAATTTTGATATGTTGCAGTTTGATTTTTATCTCAAAGTACTCTCTAATTTCCCTGTGACTTTTCTTTTTAACCATTGTTTATTTAGGGGTGTCATTTAATTTCAACACATTTATGAATTTTTAAAATGTCCTTCTGCTATTGTGGTCAGAAAATATATTTTCTATGGTCTTAGTCTTTTTAAATATATTAAGACTTGTTTTGTGGCCACAAATAAAAAAAAGAAAACAAAAAAAAATACCAGGTTGATTTGTAATTTGTTTTCTCTTGATCACTGCTGAGGTCAAGTACCCATTGATAGCTGGAATAACTTTGTAATTACTGTATTGTTAAAATTAATGTTATGCGTTCCATGCATTTTCATTTGGTTGACATTCATTTTCACTTGAAGTTGAGAAATTCCTAATGTAATATATTTGTATGGTCTTTTTCTACGACATTCAAGCAGGCCGATGCCCATCCACACAGCCGCCATCCTATACACTGTTCTTACTTATCTGCCACCAGTCAGGAGATCTGCCAAGAGACCCACCTGACCTTCATCATCTCCCTTCAAAAGACCCGAACTGAGATCCCTCTCAAGTCTTGGAACAAAGAAAGGACAGGCAGTGGCCCTCACTGACACCCCCCAACCTGCATTAAAGCCCCGTGGCAGGTACCCTCTCCTCTCTGTGAAGCTGACAGATGACAGGCCTGACGGTTGCTCTATTGAAATACTCCAGGATGCCTCCAAGACAAAATACATGGGCCCCACCTTCAACACTGGGCACCATCCAAATGTCCTGAAGTGAAGTCACGGTCCAGCCCACAGCCTGACACTTATAGACTGGGCCAGAGCTCCAATCTCGATATCAGGGCACCAGGTAAGAGATCTGCCCAGATCGCCATCCAGCCTTGCTGGATTCCCCCAAAGAAACTGAGAGTCAGCCCCTATCCAACCCCCGACAGGAACACTCAGAGACTTCAGCTGACTCTCCAGCCTCTGCTAACTACCACTGGATTTAGACCAAAAGCGTTACCCCGTACAATGAGGAAAATTCCAGCCCAAGTGCCACAAACTGAGCTCCAGCCTCCACTCAATAGACCTCCCCTGGATACTGTCCAGGTCTGCACCATGTCCTGTCATCCCTGACTCAGCCATGTTCCAGGCCAGCCACTCAGAATAGTCGTCAGGAGATTGGACAATGGCTGGTGGAGATCCAGCTTCATAGTAGCTCCCTTGTTCCATCCTCCTGAGAAACCACCCCCTCCTGCACAGAGCCCTCACATCCCACAGAAGTCTGAGAGACACTGTCCCTGTATCCCAGTGAGTGTCCTCTACGAGGACCTTGAGGTCTCCTCCTCCTCTGAGGAGAATGATTGGGAGTGAGACACCACATGAAAGGAAAGATGGCCTTCAGTGTCGTGTGACTTGGAGGAGACTGTTGGACTGAGGAGGGGAAAGTGTAGGGAGCAGGCTGTGTCTTGGAATCAGAACCTCCGTAGATGTGGAGCAGGTGCAAACATGGAAGCCCAGTAATGCTGTGAAGAGACACACAAACACTGCACATTTGTAACATGTAAACCTTAATTGTTTTAAATGAAACTTAGCAAACAAGCATATAGTTTTGAAATGAAGCTCAGTTTATAATAAACCGAGTTGGCATTCAGGAGCAATATTTAAATTATAATGTAAATAGAAAACTGTAAAATTAATTTGTATTTGGTGTCCAAATAACTGAATTTTCAGAAACTCTGGGTAATCTCTCTGATCTACATCTTTTTAGCAGTAACCTGCTCTAAGACAAGAGTTTTTGACTCTGTGGAAGTCTTAAAGTGAGAACCATTGTTGGGAAAGTTCTCTTGGCCTGGCACATTGTTATTATTTTATGTTGTTGAAATTATGTTTCTAAATTTTTTATGTTGATAATACATATGAAATGTTGTACTGGTATTTTGACTTCTTAGCAATGCAAATTATTTAAAAAATTCTTTCTATTCACCAAAGTTTATTTGTCAGGAGTAATGAGGACCTTGACAAGATCTATGGCTTATTAGAAGTGCAGAATTTCAGGCAAAATTCAGCCCAACAGCATCAAAAGATGCATATTAACAAAGTCTTTAAGTGAATCTTATGCATGTCAACATGCGATAAACACTGGTGTAGACCGATTCACATTTTGACTCAGGGTGGAATTATGTGGCTTGCTCAAAAGTTTTGATTACTGCATTCAAGTTTATTTATGTTGTATGCTTCAAGTATTTACAACTTAATTGTGACTTACATCTTGTTACAGCTGAATAAAAATTCTCATACCTGGGTCCTACCCCAGAGGTGAAAAATAAAATAAATAAAATAAAATATAAAATAAAATAAAATAAAATAAAATAAAATAAAATAAAATAAAATAAAATAAAATAAAATAAAATATAAAAAAACACAACTTTTTTCCCAGTACTCATGAAATATTTTAAAAACTGGCACCATTTTAACCCCCCCAAACTCAATAATTTATAAATGTAGAATTAATATAGACAGCATTCTAATTACAAAATAAAATACTTCCCAAAATGTATTAGGCACAAAAAAATTTACAGGACAGAGTTACAAAACCTTCAAAAATCATAAAATTCCAATGTCATTTAAGTTGTTTGATCATGACTATTTAGCATTGTCTGTATATAACAGTTAAAGCCATTAGATGAAAGTAAAAATATAAATAAAAAATACCTTCATAGAACTACAAATATGTATACTGAATACGTACATTAAAAACCCAAGTCAGTCAATTAAAAAGTAGTGCAAAGAAAACTACAACCAACATGAAAAATCGATAACTGGAAATTATCAGTTTTTCTATATAAATACAACCATCACTCAAAATGTATAATGGGTGAGAAAAGTCTATTTGTTACAATGTGTGTACACATACATACATACACAAAAATACACATTCACAAATGTAATACATAGAAATAAAGTTAACAGCAAAAGGAATGATAAACCCTGTACTAGGAAAAATGTAAAATGTACGTGAAGGAAAAAATGTAAATACCCCCCCCAGAAATACATTTTATGCTATTAAGAAGATCTATTCTGCATAAAGATGTCATTTTTCCTTGATTATTTGATAAATTAATGTGCACTCCCAAATATCAGTAGGCTTCTTTTTAGAATACCAAAATTGCTCATTCTACAGTTTCAACATAAAAATAAACAATCAAAAGTTGCCAAGAAAACTCTGAAAAAGAAAAGCAATGAATGAAAAGTAGCTTGACAAAGTACTTAAAATATCATAAACCATCGTCAAAATGGTGAATCGACAGAGGGACCAATCGTTGAGAAGTGAATGTCCAGAAACCCACCCAAATTACACAGCATTTGATATATAATAGAAGTGGCATTTTAATTAATAACAGAAATATAGAATTTTTAATTCTTAATGTTTGAAAACTAGCCACTTGCAAAAAAGAAAAACAAATGATGCTTATCCCAGCCTCACATTTTACATATACAAGGACAAATTTTGAGTGACTTGGGTTTTTAAATGCAACAAAACTAATCCATAAAATAAATAGGAAAAATGGGTAAATTATTTTTACTCTTGAAGTACACTTGATTTTTAATCTTTAAGTGAAGGACTTTTCAACTTTTAATCTTTAACTGAACCTTGGATTTTAATTTTGAAGTGAAAGACTCTTATCAAGAAAGCTTCTAAATCAATATTGAAAGAGCAACTACATAAATATTTTTAAATCTGCATTCTTAAATAATATATAAAAATGTCAAAATACAAACAGGCAAATATTTGCAACTTATAAGCAATGGATTACTCTATTATTGTAAACAGCCACTAAAATTGAAGAAGGAAAAATATTTACAAGCAACACAAAAATGGTGAGAAGAAATAAACAGTTTGCAGAAAAGAAACTACTGCTTTAAATTATAAGTTTTCTAGCCTCATTCATAATAAGAAAAATGCATTTGTTTTTTTTTTTTTTTTCTTTTTGTCTTTTTTCTGACCGGTGACGGGATCGCAACCCTCGGTGTTGCGCCCGCACTGCGCTCAGCCAGTGAGCGGGAACCGGTCTCCACATGGGATCTGAACCCTCGGTGGGAGCACCGCCGCACTCCCAAGCAGCGCACTCTCCAGTGTGCCACCGGGCCGGCCCAGAAAAATGCATTTCTAACATGCATTAAGATACCATTTTTCAGCTCTTGGACTGACANTGGTGAGTCTCTTAAGGAGTAATCTAGCCATATCCATCAATATGACTTAACATACCTACCATAGACCTTGCACAACCACTTTGGGAAAATTTCTAGTAGGTGTTCATACAGATAAGGTATGTGAAATTATATATATATACAATGTTATGATAAATGATATTGTGTGTAATAGCAAAAACTGTAAAAAAAATGCCTATATACAAAGTACTGATATACAATACTATAATATGCTAAAGGAATACT